AAAAAATAGTAATGTCTCTTTGTACCAATTGAATAGTCGAGGGTCTACTGAAAAAAATGGCTAAACGAAAAGCCGCTACATTGATGTATGAAAAAATTAAAATGTTAGAAAACTATTCCACTGAAAACATGTGTATAGATAACGGGGTAATTGACCGTTCATGTGTTGTCACGTCGGCTGGCATTGATGACAAGCTATTTATGGCCACTGCCATTGATAGCATTGGTCACAGAAGTATTGATGCCAACAAAGTTCAACCACCACAATTGACCAACGAATCAAAGGAAGATATCAAACATAATATCAATTGCTTATCAACTACAAGGACTACCCCAATTGATCTCGAGGTAAAATTAACAGGAAACGAATCGGTTATTGTTAACAAAAAGCAACAGTCAATGATTGCCTCTGTAGACGTCAATTTCGCCAAACGATTTCGGCGATCAAACAATTCGAGTGTGCGCGAATTAAAGGTAATTGCTATTCGTTTTATCCGACCACAACCCGCCGTATACACGTACCGTTGTAACACGTGATTTATGTGCACAATTTTTATTCCACCACAGGCAATGAAAGTCATAAGCACGCTTACGGTCCCTTCAAATGTCGATCTATTGCAACGAATTGCAGACGAAGAAGAGCTAATATTGCATTATGAAATTGACGAAACCCGTCCGCAGATGATTAGTACGATTTCCAGTCATCCATCGTGTAAAACTAAACCGTTAAATTACCTATGTACTTACAGGAAAAGATTTTACGTGTGTTCAGCTTACGGTAAATCATGGTGCTCTGACAGTCGTTGGCTTCGGTGTATCGTTAATCGACAGTCAAGAAGATGCGGCTTATGAGTGTTTGACACGTTTAAAATCAGTCCTGGAAAATTAAATGTACGACCAAAGCAGTAGATGTCTACAGTGAGTTTATACAAATTATTATAGAGTAAATGAAAACTTATCGCTCATTATCCACCACGATATACTTTTATCGGTCAAAACACAAAATTTAAAGTTTCTTTTTTACACATTAAATGTTAAATTTATCTGTACGTACTAATGCATACGATTTTATAATAGGTTATAGTGTGATACAAGCGGATTAAACGAGATTTCAAATATTTATCGGTTGTGTGTGTTTTCACTCTGCATAACAATAAGATCCGATGACAGAAACAATACAAATTGAAAACATCGTTTAACACAATATATCAACCAGCTTCAGTAGAATATCTCACTTTCTATCGACATCTACTTTTAATCATTTAATCACGGCAAAACATAAACAATTATTAAATAACACTATGTACTATGGCAAAAACCATAATTAAATTACGTTCTGTTTATCATTTGTAATAAAATATTTATTAAAATGACAGCTACTATTTACCATTGTAAATTATTTCAAAACAAAATTATGCAAACTTAAAAAATTATCCATTAAAGTTATTAATATTATCATTATGATAAATATATTCGGTTTTATGTGCTCCATTTATGACAAAGCTATAAGCATAAAATAATAATTTTTGCGATTTTCTAGTATATCACAGTAAAATATATTCAATGCTGTCTTGTATGTTTTGCACCAGAGCTATCACATCACGTCGCATCATATTTTTTTTTATGAATTATGAACTTTCATCATATTTTTGCATTGTGATATTATAAGCCAAAATTTATTTTAAACTTTTCACCGAAACAAACTTATTATAGTTTCATTAGGTTAATAACCATACTTTAAGATTTTTCTTAAAATCAATACTAATAAGTTTGACGATACAACTTTGCAACCGAATTCCAACAGTTAGAACTTATTCATTCTTTCCATACGGTATAATGAGTCAGTAATAAAAATATATTCATTCGATTATGAAATAAATACCGTGTAATCATGTGAGATACAAGGATTATAACAAAATGAGTTCATTGAACATTGCTACACTGGAAATCAATTGTGACTAGCCTATATACAATGTCAGAGCAGAAAATGTAATATCTATATTCTAATCTGCTGTCAAAGTTTTGATTTCAAAAAATAATATCAAATCGGTTTATGAATGGAAATAAACCCAAGCGTACAACGATGCGATCAACTTAAAATTGCATCAACGATTTTATTACTTTCTTAACAACATAAGCGTTATCCACATCTCAATTCATGTGCAATAAACACAGATTTAGAGAAGATGAGGTGATACCGCTTGTACACATTCCGGTCGCAAATTTTCTCAGCAGTTCGGCATTACAGATGTCTCGGGCAGGTAGCGCTACCATTCGCCCAAAGGTCGGTTTTTATATTGTGAATACTTTGATTTAATGTAAAATATTAAAAATGTCTACACATTTTTGTTGCTTTTGATAATATTACTTAAAAATTAAAAATAGTAGCAAAATAAAAAATATTTTTAAGTAATTATTTTATTAAATTAAGTACAATTTAAAGTAGTTTCAATTAAGGAAGTTTTATTATACTACTTATATTTTAACAACTACATGGTTATACCGCTTAGCTTTACACCGCTTAGCTAATTTTTTTTTGCTTTTCTCTCGAGTGGCGTTCTCTGCAAAACATGCAAAATACATTCTAAATTGTAAATAAAATTTAATACTCTGTGTTTAAACATTCTATAAGAAATTGCTTATATTTTTAATATACATATAAAAATAAATAAGATGTCTCCAGATTTGATTGTAGTATAAAGAATGTATAAATAATGATGAGTATTTTTCTTCAGGAAAAATAAATAGTGGAGATTTATCAGATGATACAGGAAAAATCTTATCAATTTTATATTCTATTTGGCTATTATCAGTTAGTGCTGTCAATATATTATTCAAGTTCATGAGCTATAGACTATAAGGATACGTTATAAAATCACTAGGTTTAAATTTGAACAAGACAATAATTGTCTTTAATAAATGTATAATTTTTATACATTTATTTATTAATGATAAGTTAGTTGTCTATGTCGTCCGCCTTAATATGTTGCAACAGTCTTATAAATGAACCGTAGAATAAAAGAAAGTCAGAAAGTATTAAGAATAAAAAGTTGAAATTGTCGATTACGTAATAAGATGTACTATTTTATACGATATCCGATATTTTAAAAGTTTTAACATAATTCAACATGTCAAGACTGTGATTATATTATCTTTACCATAGGCATGCGCAAACTTTGTCCACAGGGGGGGCCCCTTGAAAAAGTAGACCAACAATTCTTGTACTAAAGACTACTAGTATAATTAATTATTTTAAATTTAAAAATTATTTATTTAATTCAATATGCAAATATAAAAATAAATACTATTTAAACTTGCACGATTTATATCTAAGAAATCCTTATTTACCTATTATTATACTATTTACAACTCCATCCTTCTGTCTACGAGAGTAAGGTTTTTGAATGTATCAATTACATCTTCAATTTTTATATTATATGCAAGTTCTGATTAGTCTGATTAATAACTAATAACTTTATTACATTTATTCACAGATATCAATTCTATTCTATTAGATTAAAACTAGCTTTACTTTATTTATTTAAAATGTAAAAATGTTCGCTGTCTTGTATAGATAATATAGATATACATTTATTAAAGAAAAAGTCAGAGTCCGCAAGGGGGGCCGCGGCCCACGCCTATGATCTTTACGTCTTCAACATTTGACTGGTTTGCTGCAGTACTTCATGCTTCCCTATTGTAACTTAATTATATTATATTCTTTACTTATCTATAACAATTCGTTAAATCTCTTATGGGATTATATATAACTCGTTTGGCGTCCGTTCCCGTGGCAAAATTCAATCCTTCCAGCGAGCCTGCGATCGAACTCATTTCCGATGCACGTTAACGATTTCTTGTTCTCGGAGCAGCAAAATCCGAAGCGAGGATAAGTATATCGGACTTGGAACAGGTGTTACAGACAAATCATACCCTCGGAAAATATTACCGGGGGGAGGGGTAGTTAGATTTTCCTAGGCATATTTTACCTCCGGTACAATTATCCTAGGTTATCGTTAGCTTCGGTAAGATTATCCTAGGTTAATTATACCCTCTTCAGTGGGTACGATTATCCTAGGAAAGTTTTACCTCCCCCCTCGGTAAGAATTTACTAGAAATATATCTTGATGGGAGTATGATTTTCCTAGAATATTTTTACCCCCCCCCCCCCCCCATATAACATTCCTAGAACTTAACTACGTTCTAAAAACACTGCACAAATAAAATATTTTTTTTAAGCGATCTGTTTTTTTAATGTAAAGTTCATGGAATTTAAAAAAATATAAAAATAAAAATTTCAAAGAATTTTTAGATGAGACCATAATATTTATCTCTGTATTAAATTTTGATAGGGGTCCCACCGTTCTCGGGAAAATTATTCAACCGTCTTCAGACTAATGAGTAAAAATAGTCATGTCACCTATGAATTACTTCACCTAATTACTTTACCATTGTCATGAAAGGTGGCCGTAAATCTATATACTCCTAATAAAAATAGGTACATATTATCATTGACTGAATAATTCTTAATAATAATTGTACTCTATTATTATTAAAATTATTCCATAATCTATGATATTAAATATTATTGAATAAGAGAAGAAATGAAAGAACTTTTGTATGACATAAACCGTTTAATTATTTGTATGGATAATGTTATTAAGACACTAGCCAAACGTAGTGGCTAAACTTGCCATACTCTTAACACTAGCCATAACATATATATACTATATGATATGTATTATTTTTTTTTTCTTTTACTCTCGGTTTACAATTTTTATGGAAGTAACGGGATTAAAACGGGACTCTATCTAAAAACCGAACAAAAAGCGTCCCGTTCAGTTTGTTGGGATAATAGGACATAATGATAAAAAAAGGAACAATCCCATTTTAAATGGGACGTATTGTCACGCTAGGTTAAAGTATTTTCATAAATCAGGGATGTGTCTACAATAATATAAATTTAATTATTAGTTACATACATAGCTATGCACTAGTATTAAATAAAATTAATATATTTAAATGAAAATGCTTTAAATTAATTCGTAAAACAGAACCATAAATAATAAAAAATATATTTTCACGAATAAAAGGTATCCATTAACATAGGTTTCACTGTATTACAATTCTTTGATTTTAAAAAGGAAATATTCACTAACTGGAAGGATGTCATGATAAGATTGATACAAATATGAAATATAATTACTAGTGTTTTAATAAACAAATAAATTACAATTAAAATACTTTTTCTTCTTGAACTAAAATACATTCATACTTAAAAGTATCTTCTCCAATCCAGCAACTATTTTCACAAGTATAAACTAAAGCTGTTCCAAATTCTAAATGACCACTACCATGATGATCTTTACCACATATAAGTTTCAAATATGTAATTAAAGAAGGAAGAATTTGTAACTCAAATACCAATTTTCCTTGACAGTGTTTACATTTATTTGGTTCATCTTCTTCATATAAAAATAATGGTTTACCTTTGTAGCGACAGTACCTGGATAAAAATAGTTTATCATTTCTAAAAATGTAAAAATAATAAATATATAATATTACCCAATACTTACCGTAATATTTGACCAGGATTTTTTCTTATTGTTGAAGCAAACGTTTCAAAATATTTATCACCATGTGCGGGCAAACTTTTTTCATAACCTTCATTTTTTTCTTCAAGAATCATTTGATTATTTTCATAATTGTTTAATAAGTTAATTGCACGTTCTTTTACTACATCTGATAGTTCTTCATAAGCCACTGATATATAATATGGTTCAAAGTATATATTCAAATTATGGTGATCCTATAAACATAATTATACATTTATTATTAATCAATTTTTTTAAGAAATAAAAAAATAAATTAACTATAATTTAAAAACAGGCCATTAAGTAATTCTATCAATTTATGTATTTATAAAGTAGTAGTTTCTATAAGGAAACTATGAATATAATTAAAAATAATTTTTATAAAATTGATTGAAAATTTTAAAATATGATCATCACTAAATGAAAAGTAAAAATTAGAAATTAGTTCTACTTGGTACTTTCAGAGATGAACATTTTTTGAATTCCTCAATATTTATTTTAATAATTGTAAAAAACTGATGAAAAGTTTTAAAAAAAAAGACAATATTTAGAACATGATGGTTTTTTATAAAATCTAATTTTTGTTTTTATCATAACTCAAAAAATAAAAATTAAAGATACTTGAAATATTTACTGAATGCTTTTATCACTAATTATCACTGTAGATGGTAAAATGTTTATAATTTTTTTAAGCTATTCATATATTGTTGAAATTGTCAACAAAATAATTGTAGTTTAACAAAAAATCTTGAAAATATAATAAAAAGTTTCTCATACAAATTTATTATTGATTAATTAAAAAAATTGAGCTTAATTAAAAAAAATATTTACAAGTGTATGAATGTTGACAAAATTATAAAAATCATGAGTCCTCAACATTTTTGTAGCCAAAATAAGTTTCTCAATCTTTTTGCTGAGAAAATACCAATTAAAGATATACATAAATAATTCATGAAATAGGACCACTTACTGATGGTATTTCTTTTTTACTATCTAGTAACTGAAAAACATCAGTATTTGGTAATTCAATATGTTCAGCTACTACATTTTCATCGGCATCAGCATTTTCTAATTCCGCGCTTACAATATCACAAATTTCAATTGCTTGACTTTTAACAGTAACATTACCATTTTCTTCAATATTAGGTTCCACGCCCCAGTCATCAGCATTATCACACCATTCGATGAATGTTGTCGTTAACTGTTGATTATCATCACTATGATTCACAGAAATCCATTGTCGTCTCAAACATATCCAACTATAAAATAAATTGTATAATAGATAAGTACATTAATATTGGAAATATGATATTCTTTGTTTTAATTTATATTTAACCTTTGCGATTTGTTCCAACATCCAGGGTTAACGCAAGCATGTATATATAATGTCCTGTGGTAAATAGAGTTTGTAAGAGGTGCATATATCTGCATGAGTAATGGTATCTGCCGATCGCACAAGGGACATTTTGGCAATAAATTTTGATTCGAGGTATTCTAAACACATGACTAATGTATAACAAAATTTAAATAATGACTGAACAGTTACTACTCACAGGCAATTCTCCAATTTTATTTATCAAGTCCACATCGTTTAAACAGTTTTCAGTAATAGGTTCGTCAACAAAACCCAATAGAACTTTTTCAGAAGCCTTTGCCATAGTTAATTTGCAATCCTAATTCTCAAATGTTCCCAAATGTTATCAAATTTCTATTCGAGTATCAATAGTTCATGTTATCAATTATTATTACGCAATTGTGTCTTTACCAATAGAATATTCATATCATGAATTCAAGTATTTAAAAAAACAACAACGTCAAATTGACAAGAAATGAATATATTTGCCAACGGTTGTTAAAGAAATTAAATTAAGTAATCAATGAAGCCACTGCAAACGACTTTCCGTTCATGCCAATACTTATTTCTTTATGCATATGACTTATTCGATATTTTGAGATTTCACGAGAAAATTGTATAATTAATACATTTAATAAATAATAAAGAAAAATTAATAAAATTAAAACAAACCAATAAATGAATACTTAATTAAGCAAATAATGAAAATATAATAAATAGTTATTTGTTTATATAACAGCAATAATAATAATAATAATAAAAGTAAATAAAAATCACACAGTTGACACAGAAATTCTAAAAATTTAGTAGAACGAAAAATATTTAAAAAATATTACAATATCTAAATATCGGTCCCTCTAATGTAACGATGGGAAGAGGGGTAGTGGTTTTTATCAGAAAAATATTAATATTAGTTTAAAATTTTGTCATGAAGCAAAATACGGTTTGGCAGCCAAACTTTGGTTTCATACGAAGCGGCTTTATCCAAAATATTCAAAAGATCTAGAGCCAAGAACCGACCTAAATATCAGCGTCACTAGTTTAATCACACGTAACTCAGTTTGAACTGAGACTGCCTGATTCAGTACGTCACCGGTAGAGACATCGAATGTTACGTAAGCCGTGAGGTGATTAAATTAATAGGTAATTTGACAAACTACACTTTGCATTCGCATTGTGTAATTGTTAACTCATCAATATTAGCGCTGAGCACGGCAGGCGGGCCATCAAAACCGTTTTCTTATCATCGTTTATCGAACAAATACTTGATACAGATAATGTGTCGTTGAAAACCGCGTTGCCAACTTGTGGCAGAATGTAATTTTTTTTTCGCCCCGCGCTCGGTCCGTCATTCGATGCCCATTCAATATTTTTTCCCGTACTTGTGTACCTACAGTTCTATAACAGTCTTATGATTTCCATAAATCGCAACTATCGAACAACGGTAGAAATATCTTTCAAGAAATTTCCCCAGTGCTCCGGTGCCCTGCTAACGTCATTTGACCTCTGCGAACATTAGTAAACGGACGTTAGGGTAAGTAAATTCACTGGTTAATTGAATATTAACTTTTTTATGATTGCTACATAACATTGTAATGTCCATCGAACTTTTTTATTAACAGCACGAATTTAAAACACCTGTTAAATAAAATTATTTTTCGTGTTTTTATATATACCTATTTGTATACTTTTTGTACCCTCTAAATGTCTAAATCCCATTTTGTGAGTATAAACTAGATTGTTGAGTTCAACTGACTATTAATATGTAAATCTCTTTCTCTTTATTTTCAATGGTTTTTGGATTGATTCTCTAATTTTTGAAATTATTTACTGTTACTGCTATGTTCTCACCTTTAACCTATCTCATGCTTTTGTTACATAATGTAGAATGACATCTAGTGTTACGACGGACATTTTTTTTTTATCAAGTACTTATTGATCAGGGTCATTACATGTTAATAAATTTTATATTAATTATTAATACCATTGCTTGTACTTGTGTTAATATACATGATAAACTATTATGTGTTTCTTATTTGTTTAAAATTATTGTTTTTCCGTGTTTTGGTGTATTATGTATAGTAAAATTAATATAGGTTTTTAAAAGTTGGGTCAAAATCAAATTATATTTTATTTTACATAATATTGGTTATCTTTATGCTTGTAATAGTTATATAAATATATTACCTAGCAAATCAAATTCAACAACCTCTAAATTCTTAAAAGATATATTTATTATAATTATAAGATACTCTATTGTATAAATAAAATTTTATTTATTGACTAATCTAATAAATTATACATTTTTTGTGTTGATATCTTTATTCATATCTTTATCCATATCTTTCAAATTTTTATGTTTTAAAAATAGCAGTATAAAAATAAAAATAATTATTTGGTTATCACAATAAATTTATATTAAAAATTATAATATTAGAAGTATGAAAATAAAAGTTGACAAGGTCCGGCAGTTGCCGACCTCTGGTTTAAACACTATATAAATTATAATACTAAATAACTATTATATTAAATTACTTAATAAGTGTTCTATTATGTAAATTACTTGACAATATTAACTATATTAACAAGTTTAAAAACATTAAACTAATTAATAATCTACCTAAAATTATTATTTTGTATTAGTACATTTATAAATGTACTTATGTGGAAAATGCTTATCATAATTATATTGTATATTAATTGTTTTGTTTTAAAGTTTTGTTAAGTATATAATATAAATGTAAAGTCAATTATCATCATAATAATTAAATTATTCAATGTTACATAAAGATACATAGTATCAGTGTAGTACTTCATAATATTTTTCTTTGAATATGTATGACAACTTAAAACATTTTTAATCTTGAGAGATAAAAATATTATTTGTTTACATATCAAATAATTTAGGAAATTATTTTAACAATAAAATTATGAAATAATTATTTATTAAATCTGTATTATCTTTTTTTTTTCATTTACATTTTAGCAAGTCTGAAATTATGTCATGTACTTATGGAAAATTATATTTTATCAATCTTGTTACTTTGTAAAATGTTGCTATTTATTGTTTTAATTCTTGACCTTGAAATAATAAAATTTAAATATGTTAGGTATTACACATGAAATGTATTTCTTTATATTTTCCATCAAATTATAATCAAAAATAGATATAATTTATTTCTTATTCTAACATTTTATTTATAATATATATTATTGTTTTTTTAGTTCTGTTAATATTTACTTTTATGCAATATTTTAATTTTTAAAGCTCATAAGTTAAATTGATTTTGAATATTGCGTAATAAAATAAAAATTAACTTAATTGAGTATGTACTGAAAAAAAAAATGTTATATAAGTGAATTTAAAATATTAATATATTCATTAAACCTATTTGTTTCTAAATAAATATGAATATGATGATTGTATAAATTTGTAGTCAAATCATAAAAATACAACTGCATAATGAGGTGATAGAAACATTGGGTGTTTTTGCTTCTTGTGTCTGATTATTGTATTGTGTAGGAACACCAAATGTAATGTCAACAGATCCGCATTGGTTAAAGGGAGTAATAGCTGTTGCAGTTGGTATTGGAATTACGGTTGGTTCAGTTGGGGTAGTTTTTATTACTCGACTACTAGAAAAAAAAGAAAAATTATTATTAAAACAGGAAGTTGATGAATTAAATACTGCAATACTTGATCTTCGGTCAGAATTTAAAGCATTAAAGTAAAATGTTTATAATATATTATCTGTTGAATATTTGTTTGTTTGCTGTATATTATTTTTAATAAAAATTGAATTTTAGGAAAAAAGTTATTAACCCGAGCAAAAGATTAACATTATCTAGTAGTACAAGTATTACTAGTGAAGCAAGTTTATATACAGCTTTAGGAACTGACGACGAATTCCACGACATGTCATCAGAAAATGAAGAATCGCATTCAAACATGCTTAATGCAAAGTATATTATTTAATTTTATTATTTATTTATTTAAAAACTATAAAAAAAATTTTTTATACAGCTCAGATGATGGTCTAACTACAGCCAATGTTGACAAGCATAACATTGAACCTTCTTTGCTAAGTGATGATATTTTTGATCAAGTTGATGAATTATTTGAAGGTTCTGATGAAGATAAATTAAAAGCTTATAAAATATTAGTTAATCTTAATGAAGAAGTTAGTATTTATATATATATATTTGTTTATCTTAATATAAATAGGTATTGATGAAGAGTGTGATCTACCGAGTACTTAAAGGTTTAGTTTGTGATCAATTGAGAAATCAGTGAATAACTATTGAAATAAAAATTATAAATATAGATACAGATGTTTATATAAATATAAAATTATAAATATAATTGTAGGTTCAAAAATATAATTTTGAAGAAATTCCAAACTAGAGTTTTTAGAATTAATAATTTTATAAAAATCCGGTGCTAATAATTTTAAAATACACTACATTCTTGCTCATACATGACTCGGTTAATGTTAAAAATAAATGCACAGATTTTTGAGACGTAGTGACCTGTATGCTATAAAACTGGATACATTTACTTCTCTAATCAGTTTTTTCAATTAACATTATATTACAGAATCATTGTGTATTTAGTCAACAAAGACATATTATTCAGTACCTATATAGTAGTAGATCTAAGTGAACCTGGTAGATCACATGCTTAATCAATGCCTATAAATATTATGTCACATTAAACCATAATCATTTTTACAGCGAACCGATGATATTGAAGTATTATGGAGGTTAGCAAAATCATGTCAGTTTGTATCAAAATATTATACTGCTGCAAAAAAAAATTCGGAAAAGAGCAAAGTGGTTATTGAAGAAGGTAAGAAAAAAACAATTTTAATATTTTAAATGTACAACATAGTTCATATTTCTATTTTATTTTTATTTCTTAGGTTTAAAATGGGCATCACATGCTTTAGAAATGTATCCAGGAAATTGTAATGCACATAAATGGTTTGCTATATGCAGTGGAGCTCGAGGTCAGTTAGGATCAACTAAAGAAAAAATCGAAGGAGGTTATGTTTTCCAAAATCATATAAATGAAGCAATCAAAATCAATCCTCATGATCCAACCTTATATTATTTAAAAGGAAAACTTGAATATGAAGTATATTTGATTATATTTTTAAATTTGAATAGATTATCATAGTTAAGTTCTTTACTTTTTAAGGTTGCTGTATTGTCATCTTTTGACCGACGTATTGCCGGTTGGTTATATGGAGAAGTTCCTAGTGGTACTATAGAAGAAGCTATTGAAAATTTTTTAAAATTTGAACGTGAATCACCAATTCAGTTGAAAGACTGTCATCTGCATCTTGCTAAATGTTATATAGCAACAAATAATTATGAAACTGCTGTTGAGTGGTTGGAAAAAGCATTACAGCTTCCAGTTAAGGACTCTGAGGCAAGTATAATTCATAATACAAGTTTATTATAAATTTTACCCCTTAAAATAATTAAAATAATAATTTTAGGACAAGGAAACTGATATTGAAGCAAATCAACTTCTCAAGAAATATTTAAAATACAAAAAAATGTAACTTTCATTACCATTATCCTAGATTTTTTTTTTTATGGCCAAATCTGGTTTTTTTTTAATTTTTAACCTTTATAATTTAAGTAAGTTAATTTAATATTTATATTTTAGTGTAATGGAATAATGATATTTTATTGTAAAATGTCAGTAAATTATAAACTCAAATGGTTTCATAAAATTTTCAAGAAATTTGAAATGTCAATGATTTGAAAATTAAAAAAAATTGGCTTTCATTTTGTTGGTTAGCATGGTATTTTATTTATATTGAACTATTAGTTGTATTTATTCAAGCCATTAATATTCAAATTTTTTAATTATATTTACATTTGAGCTAAATTAATTTAACAGTGGTTGTAATCGTTTTGATACATTAATTTTATTATACTGCTTTGTTACCTCTTTAAATATATATATATACATATGTGTGTTTTTTTTCTTCTAACATGTAACCATGCATACAATACCATTTTTGAATACCACTATATATTTATAAATTGTATGCTACAAACTAATTGGCGTTCATAATTTTGGTTTTATTAATTTTAGAAACGGTTCTTAAATACTTGGTGTAATCTATTAAAAGTTAAAAATATTCTATTCTAAAATTATATTAAGATTATATATATGTTTGAATTTTACAAATAAACAATTCAAATGTGAACATTTTATACAATCCATGTGTATTGATTAAAAATATATTTTTTTTTTTTACATAATATGTTTTGAATTGTAAAGAAAAAATAAGAATGTCATTGTTAATTATGTAATTAAAACAAAATTAGAAAATATACATTACCTAACTGAATGTTACCGACTTTTTATGTTTTAATTTGGTTAATTTTAGTCCGTCGTAACCCTAAACCTTATAGCTGCTTTTTATAACTAGTTTGGTATTTTTCCATGCATGCTAATGTCAAATAAAACTAATCTATTTATTTAAACTTATAATTTTAAATTTATTTGCAGTGAAAAATATTGAAAATGGAATGGAGAGGGTTCGCATACTTTTTATTGTGGTATCTAAGTATTATCAGCGGATTTCTTACCATATGTTGTCCAACAATACCTATGATGTTTGTTTGTCCATGCACTTTCCGTTTTGTTATCGGCATCATATTCTCAGTGTGGGAAATGTATCCCACTGTGAGTAAATAGTTGTTTGAATAATTCATAATTCATTATATTGCTAAAATAAAATTTTAGATCTTGATGCGCATCTTATTCAACACTCGTTTTGTAATGACTGGAGACCACATCAATCCTCTTGATGGCGCATTATTATTAATGAATCATCGTAATCGGTTGGATTGGAACTTTTTATGGGGCGGTATATTTTATGGTGCTAAACCACAAGCACATAAGCTGAAAATGGTGCTAAAGTCAGCTCTTAGACATATACCTTTTGCTGGTTGGGTGATGCAACTATCAGGATTTCTATACATACAGCGTCGATGGGACCATGACCAATCATCAATGGAAAAACAGTTGAAATACTTTAGTGATGTAAAAGATGTTAATCAGGTAAAAATTACTGTATATGTTACTACAATTTTAAACAAATCAAAGAATGTACTGGTTGGTATCATCACAATGTTTTTATTTTCATCTACACTAGTAAATTTGAATTAAAAGTTTTGCAATATTTTAACTGATTATTTTTTTGTTTACCCAGTATTTTTCTTAAAACTAAGGAAAAATTAAAAAAATCATTAGGTAGTAATTTATAATATTATTATATATTATGAATTTATTTTAATACTATAATCTTAGTATAATGCAATCAATTTTTTTAAATTGTATTATTATAATTATCTAAATAATAATCATCAATAATTTCTTATAGATTCTTTTGTTTCCTGAAGGAACAGATTTATCGCTATCAAATATTGAAAAAAGTAACAAGTATGCTGAAAAACACAATCTTCTGAATTATAAATATGTGCTCCATCCGAAAACTACAGGCTTTGTATTTCTTGTTGATACTATGCGAAAAAGTAAAACCTTATTTAAAATAGTTATATAAATTAATTGTATAAATCAATTTAATTTTTGAAGATAAACAATTAAGAGCCGTATATGATTTGACAATTGGTTATCCAGACTTATTACCACAAAATGAAATAGATGCTTTGTGTGGTGTATTTCCTAAAAATGTGCATTTCCATATAGAAAGGTAAACAATTTAGTATTTACTATTAACCAATTATTTTATATTGTTGAATTTTATACTTAAAGTAAAGAATCTTCAGTTTTATACTTACACAATAATTATTTTTATTATATAATTAAGGGTATACTATAAAATATAAACTCAGGCTCCATCGCCTATATTACTTGAACTTACTATTGGACAACAATGTCAAGTTATATTTTAACTTTCAAGAGTCTGATCAGATTTTCAGTTTTCTTGAGTTTAACATAATTTGTATTTTTCAAAGGTATGATGAATCAGAATTGCCCACAACCGAAGATGATTTAAAGTTGTGGTTGATTGATATATGGAAGCGAAAAGAAAAAAGATTAGCAAACTTCACTGCCACTTCTTCATTTTTATCCAGTCCACAAGTTTCACTTGATAAAATTGTTATAGATGAGCCCATCCATAATGCTCTGTATTTGGCTCTAATATTTTGGACTTTAGTTCAGGTAATTAGTTATTATATTTGAGCTTCTTGAGTATAATAATTTAATAATGATGAAATTATTTTTATTTAGTGTATGTTTATTTATTGTATTGTAACTTCATTACTCTTCCAATGCTGGTGTTTGTTATGCTGTATAGTATTTTTTGGATTCTCATTTGTGGAAGATGGGTTTCAGATGTTTGAAGTAAAATTATATAATCATTTAAGAAATTATAAAAAACAAACATAAATGTGTTCATTGGTTTTAATTACATGTATTAGTATTTATTGTAAAACTATGATTCAGAGAGTTAGTTTAAGGATTCATTTTATTAAGATACTTAATTCATTTTAATCGTATTACATGGAGTGTTTCACAATATTTACAAACTTTATTTTTTGTTTTATTTTAAGTCTTAGTTTGAAGTGTATTCTTTAGTTTAATATATCTAAAAATCATATTAAAAAATCTATTTTGAATTCAAATAAAATTGGTGAATTATTATTAGATGACATTTCTATAGTAAAAATATAAAAATCAAACAAAATTATGATAATTTTATTTACTTTTTCAATGTAGATGCTATTTGTATTTAAATATTAAGTATTACCTTTATGGGCAAAGTGTTGCTTTTAACTGGAATCAAGATTGAAGTTATACAATCATATAAAACAGTAATATATCAGATTGTATGATTTACAAAAGTTAATTCGATTTAAACAAATAGGGAAAATTATTATTTATAAAAACGTTTGTGAAATCCTGATAAATATATTTAAATCGGTAATTATGGTATTGAGTGAATAATTCATAATATTAATATATCAATTACTTATGTTAAATTCAAATATAAGTGCAGTACTGTAGTATCATATATTCATATTTAATATCTTTGTTGAGGTATAATTTGTTATTGTTGCAAATATTACCTACCAAACATGGCGTGTTTGTTCATGCCAAACATGATACCAATATCATATATGTGTTTTATAATGTATTATAATTTATATTATACAATTATACCTAATATCAAAATACTAACTACATTTAAAGTACTATGAGCACAGTTATATATGAACTAGGTTCACAAAACAATTAAATAAGCTGATTTCAGAAAACATAGAATATAGCTGTGCTGATCTGATTTTTAGTCTTCCAACATTTGCTGAAAACGGTTTCCAAAAGGAAAATCAGCAGCAACTTACCTAGACCTATCATCCACGCACGATACAATTTGGAAGAAAGGATTTCTCAGTAAATTAGTATATGTAATTCAATGCAGAACATCACTATTAAAGAATATGTTATCTAATAGGAAGTTCAGGGTACATCTCAATAAGTCGGTCAGCAGGTGTATAATTCTACAAAACTGACTGCCTCAAGGTTCCATTCTATTACCAACATTGTTCAATTTATATATGTCTGATATCCCTAGAGCAGTGGCCAGAAAGTTCATCTATGCGGACAAGGGAGATGCAATGAGATATTATATAAATATGGGATGCTTGAATCCCTTCTCTAGGCAAGTGGTGAAGAATAGTCAATCCAACATATAACTGATAAATGCCCAGCAATTAAATTTAACGAGGAAGCCCAGATTATTAATGACTGACAAACGAAGAGAAAACTGATATCTATAGGTAGTTCATTAGATAATATAAATATAGAGTTTTTCAATTAGAATGGGCCGATGTTGATAACACTATGGCCATGCTTTTATGATAATTTCTACCTCAGCTGTTGTATATTATTCAGTCACTAATGCCAAATCATCATCGCTTAGGTTAGGTTACACGATTGAGCAGCGCATTCAAATGATTATAAATATAAGTGTTCGATAATGCAAACGTTGCGTCCATTTTTCGGCCGACATAATGGTCCTTCAAAATCGACCCTCCAACGTTTGGCGAAGAAATTTGAGACAACCGTTTCAGTTAAGAATCAACCAATACGTCTGTACGTCAAAGAAACTCCAGATCGGACTAGAACATCATCCCGGTACGTGATAGTGTGCAGGAGAACCCGAGGCTGTCAATTCTTAGCCGTGTACAAGAACTCAGACTTTCACAGACTTCAACTTGGCGAATTTTGCGCCAGGACTTGGGCTTACACCTTACAAAACCCAACTAATGCAGGAGCTCAAAATGAATGACCATCAACATCGCCGTTTGTTGGCTAACTGGGCTGCGGCGCGTTTGGAAGAGGACCCTAATTTTGGTCCAAAAATAATTTTTAGTGACGAAGCACACTTTTGGATGAATGGCTATGTGAATAACCAAAATTGCCGTATATGGGACGATACAAACCCATACGAGGTTCACCAGGTGACAATGTACCTACAAAAATTTACGGCTTGTTGCGGATTTTGTGCTGGCGGCGTCATTGGTCCGTATTTTTAATTATTTTAAATGACGTTGGTGAGCATTACAAAACGATGATAATCGATTCCTTTTCGCCAAAATTTAACGATATGGACGTAGACGACATGTGGTTTCAACAGGATGGCGTTACATGCCATACCGCGAACGCAACAATCAACAATCTGCACGAACAATTTGAGGGTATGGTCATCACTCGCAGAGGTGACGTCAATTGGCCACCAAGATCTTGCGATTTGACGTCACTAGATTTTTTCTTGTGGGGTTCTTAAAGACGCAGGTCTATGCCAGTAAGTCACAAACGACAAATGACCGTAAAACATTAACTAGGCCGTCACTAAAATTCAACCGGACCTTTGCGGAAGAGTCATTGAAAATTGGACCAATCGGATTCGTGCAACTGCGAGCACCCGCGGCGGACATTTAAATGATAATATTTTTCCTACATAATTGGCATACACGGAGATTCAAAATAAAAAATAAAATAAATAATACCCAGTGGTGTATTCGTAATTTTTTTCTAGGGTATACGCTCAGCACATAAGCGTTTATTGGTGGGAGTGGAAGGGGTTAAACCCCTTAAAAAATGTTCTACCTACCTAAATTCATAATTACATAATATGATGGAGACGTAGGATATACCCCCTCCAGACATTTTTCCTAAGATAGGGGGGGTGTACATTTCAACGAAAGTATTTTTGGGGATTTGAAATGGGCGCGCGCCCCCTTGGTCCCCTTGGATTCACGCTTGATATGGAATTCTAAATTTTAAACTTATCTTTAATTAACTCATAGGTATTTATCATATATGAAACATAATATTTATGTTAATATTTATTTTCATGAAACCTAATGTTTTATTATGTGTAATAATATTTTAGTATTTATTTAAAATAATTTACAAAAACATGTGACGAATAAATACTGACTAAGTGACAAACTGACAACAATATAATAATTAATAATTACAATCTATCCAAAACATCGTAGACAGATCTGTTAATATTGTGATAAATTTATAAACAGAAATTTTTGACTGTTTATGTATTTTTAAAAATTATAATATCCGATCGACAATACAATATCGCACGCGTCTACCGGTATTGTTAAAATTCTGATGTTACAGTATGTAAACGCTCGGCAGTTTCCGACCGTCTCCGCAAATACCTGAAGTCGGGGGAAATTTAATCGAAGTTTATGTGGGCACGAGGCTATTTTTCAATAGTGGCTATAGTATATAATAGTATATAATAATAATAAATTCTATACTGTTGCTGTATAATGTATGCCTTATGGTGATGATAAAATAGAAGCTTGCGTATATCCATTATGTACGAATGATTAGTTAGCGTATATCCATGATAGACGAATTTTCTTAAAGATATACGCATAAATCTAAAAATAGGGATCCGGGTATATGGCGTATACCCTCCAATACACCACTGATTATAACCACCTCACACACAGCTTATTTTGTTTAATTTCAACATCGACCCGCTCTTATTGAAAAACTCTTAATTCAATCCAATTTACCTATATCCAGTGGTTAAAGTGAGGTTAACCTTCTTATTTAAGGTAAGATTATGCGTCCTCTTTAATTTAAGTCGCCAAAAGTCCGGGTGGACGTTTAATGACATTGGTCACTAAAATAAAATATTGAATATACAATACTTATTATAATATTATTACATGAAATTTATTTTTTTGATTCATTTGAACAAGTGGAAAAAATAAATAATTAGTAGTTATAATATATAAAGTACTTATATTTATTTGTATTTATATATTACAGTACTAATGTATTTCAATTTATTTTTACTGAGCAGGCATATATATATATAGAATTATTTTTCTTTGGGGGAAATTTGTTTTTACACCCTATGAAAATAAATTTTTTAAGAACATATATGTATAACAGAAGAAGCTTAGACCTCATGGGTTTCCTAAAAAAAGTTGCTAAGATTTAGAATAAGGTAGGGGAACGCTTCTCAATTTTTGATGCATACAGTCCCTCCACAACATTTTTCCCACTAACCACTACCTATATTGTGTAGTTATTGTTAACACTTGCATGCTTACAATAGGTTTATTGGTTTTGTCAAAAAGTGTTCGCTTTTTCACAAGTACTCCAAACCGTTTGTTTTGAAAAAGTGTAGTCTTACACGCTGTTTTATAAGTGTAACATTAGTGTACACTTTTTCACACTGACCAAAGTGTAAGTGTAGGCACAGCGTTGTACATATATAATATATGATATTTTTATATTATATTTATATATATTTAATTATAAATATAATTTAAACAACCATCATCGTCGTCATCGTTTACTTATACAGCTGCTGGGATTTTGATAGGATTCCACAGCTCAACAATATTTCGTCATCGGAAGAATCACAAAACTTCATCACGTGCAATTTTTGTATTTCTATTTCTTTTAATATTATAATTGTTAATTATTAATATTAAATATTAAACAAAAAGTTTACTAACCTATTGTTCGATTCAACTACCAATATAAATAAATTATTATCAATTATTAAGATTGATAAAAAAGATCAGCTGATTAATCTACACCTAAACCGTTTGTTTTGAAGACGGGTATCTGATCACACCCAGACAATACACTAATTAGTGTACACTTTTTTTTCCTAAACGAACAAACCTAAAAAAAAAAAGGCACCGTAGAAAAGGATATGAGACTAATAGATGAGCATGCAACGTTAGACTGGACTTTGGACAGAGAAAAATGGAAAGGCTTACTAGTGGCAGCGCAGGTCCTTAATGGACCGTTAAGCTGTTGAAGTAAAGAAGAAGAAGAAACGAACAAACCTAATATTTGATATGTAAGTTGTGTATTTCATTCAGTTACCTATACCATGTTATCAACAATTTTATATATTTATCTATTTTACTGTTGTTAAATGTATCACTGCCGATGGTCATATGTAATAAAAAAAATTTAATTTTAATCTATGGCTCCACACTAAACATGAATAATTTTATCTGAAGTCGA